AAGTGGGAGAACTTGCACAATTGGTGGCTGACTAAATACTTTTTTGCCCCACTGTATTCTCTGAAAGAAGTGGGGAATTAATCCAATATTATTCACATATAAACCATTATTATGAGAGCACAATGCACTGATTCCATAGTTGGCACCAATATTATCATGAAGATTAGCAATTTTATTATTCATTCAAATAATTTGAATTCAGCTACTCATTTGCACGAAACCCCAAATGGTTTACCGTAGCACAACAGGATAAAAATTAAAAAGTACAAATATTTGGGGAGAAATTGCAATTTAGAAGTAGATATGGGACATAAATGTTGATCCTTTAGATGAAGCAACATAGCTACATGATATTCAAGAGAGATCCAAAATTCTTGGCAAACCCTATATACCTAATCTGCACTTATTGTCCACTGTAAGTCTATGGATGTTCTATTAGATCTACCCATCACTGGTTTATCATGTTGACTACAATCATGACTGCTTAAAGAAGTAAATCAAATTGTGCTTCCCAGACCAGCATGTTACAGGGGAACACTACAGTATGTTAATTTAAACAGGGCGGCTTGCCTAAAGCTTGATTTTCAAATTTGTCTGTCAGAATAATCTCTTGAAAATTTTAATTAAAATAAATTACTTAACAAGCCATTCATGTAATTATATCACATCCTGATGATTCATTCTGGGAGAATGCCCAGTAGTTTTGCAATACTTCATAGCTTCCAAAGGATATTAAATTATTTAGTACTTTGGCACTGTAGTGTCAAAAAGGCTAAGAAAAGAACACAACGAGCATTAGGCTGGGGGTGTGCTGGAGGCAGCCATGAATCTGCTTTCCCCAGTCACTGCTGCAGCCTCAGCTCAGAAGAAAATTTATATCAAAGCTGGCTTACGATTTCATAGAGGAATTACCTCTGGCCTTGAGAATGAGGTGCGTGGAAGCAAACAGTTGCTCAGACCTGGGAAAGTAGAAAGTGTGAGAAAGAGACTCAGAACAACTCATTCCTGAGCATGGGCCCTCCAGGGGAAGAAGACAGGAGAGCTGTTAATATACAATAAAGTAGCCTTCCTGGAATCCCTGGGGTGTCTGTTTCTTGACCTTGAAAGGCTGACAAATCTATTTTATAAACAGCAAAACAAAACAGCTAGGCAGGCAGCATCATGACTGCTGTCCCTCCCAACACTTCCTGTTGCTGGCACATACTGGACTAGCAGTGTGACTGCTCTGCTAGATAGTTAACTCAGAGGTGTTATAATGCTGGAGTTGCAAACTTTAAATAACAGAAGATAACCACGTCCTTAACACCATCTTTATTACTTCAGTCCAAAGAGCCAGAGTTCTGATGTAAAGTTTCTATTTTTTACATTATAAAAACAACAAAAATACAAAAACGGCGAGTAAGGCAGAAGGAACTACATTAAATATAATGCTCGACAGTATTGAGTTGTTTTGTTTTTTTTGCCTACCCTCTGGACTACCAGTATGAATGCTCTGCTAGATATCCTTCAATGCAATGTTATGTGTGATATTTAACTTCACAGGTGTTATAATGTTGGAGTTGCAAGCTTTAACTAATAGAAGAAAGGAATGTCTTTAACACCATCTTCATTAATTCAGGGCAGAGAGCCAGAGTTCTGACTTAAAGTTGAAGACAGAATAAAAAATCCAAAGTATGAAAAGTTTAAATAGATCAGAATGCTAATGTACATAAATCAATGCTTATGCAAATTCAAATGAGATTCTATCAGAGCTTTTTTAAAAAAATAAAAAACAACTACTTTATTTTTGGCACATCATATTTCTTTGTTCTGTCTTGCTGTCACATTTTCTAAATTGCCTCTGTGCTATGAATTAATCTTTACTACTTTAGTGTTGACAGTGAATGCACTTGTGAAATAATTCTTAAGGTAAAACATGATAAACTGTTGGCCTAAATGGCTATATATCAATTCCTCTGCTGCCACCTTTCTTCCAAAAAGAATAAAACATTTCCAGTGCTTTCTGGATTCAGAAACAACTAGATAAAATGCATGCATTTTCCTGTTTCAATTTTTATTTGAAATGGGCCTTTTCCGTTTTTTGAGCCATCATTTTTGCTCTTCTGTTTCTAATTACCAGCTTGTATTTAAAACGTACTTACATGAAATATAAAAGAGCCTTTTTAAAGGTGGAATCTGTTCTACGTATCCATACATTTTTTCTGAAAGGAATGGTATTTAAAACAAAAACTGTTTTTCAGACTACACAATTTGACTGATTAGTCATAGAGAAGAAAAACAGCAAGACTTTCTTTTTCTACCCTGGTCACAATCAGCAATAGCAGAATCTCAAATGCAAAATACAATTATGTTAAAATGTGTAGCTTGCTAGTCGCTGGTGTCAATTACGATGAGTGAATTAATTGCAATCATTCATTCCTCTAATATGCTCCCTGTTTTGAAATCAATATTTCTGGTGGTGATAGAGCACGGGCAGGCAAATATTCAGGGGTAACAGTATGAAAAAAAACCAGAACAAAACAGAAAAAACAAACATACATCCAACCATAAACTCCAATAAGGGAAACCCCATGAACCGCTTTCTACTGATATCACCATAAGGCAGTGTTGTCCAAACTTGGCCGCTTTAAGATGAGTGGACATGGCTGGCTGGGGGAATCCGGGGGGTGTAGATCCCTCATCTTTAAGATGGCCAAATTTGAGAAAACTGGCAAAAAGGATCCCCTAAGGAAACCG